AATTGATATTCTATATTCAACATTAGATAAACACAGAAGAACCCTTTCAAAGTACCATAAGTAGATTTTCAGGTAAGTATGGCTAATACGAATAATTAATTGAGTTGAGTTGGTACAGATCAGTTGTAGCATTTACAAATGTATAAATTAAAGTTTTAGGAATGTTTCTTCCTTTCCAGGTTTTTACAAAAGACTTTGAATATTTGCCTAACTTTTCCTTTTCAGATTGTTACAATATACTACAAATGTCTGACTTTTCCTTTTCAGACTTTGAACAATGTACTTGACTAAAATGAATGTATTGATTTTACTAAGACTAAAGTGCCTTACTCTTGACGAAAGCGTAATGAAGTAAACGTAAATGTAATCCTAAATTGAAGACACTGCAGTTTGGCAGATTACAGATTGATCAAATCACCACTAAGAATTGTATACCTTAACTGGATCTCTTATGATCCTTAGTTTTTTTTAATGCTTTTGACTAGTGATTGCCTTGAAGTAAATCTTTAAGCTGCAAGCTGGTTTTGATTTTATAGTTTAATAAAGGAGATTAGCTAATGGTTAAATGTTAAAACATATTAGTTTAAAATAAATGTTTCAGCCATTATTATGCTTTTGACAAAAGATGCTGCAAACACTGACGGGAGATGATTTTTCTATTACGATTGGCTGTCTCAATCATTATGATTGAATGTTTCAATCTTATTATGTTGTTATTAATCTGATTGTTATTGATGTAATTGATGTTGTGTAAATCCACACTCAAATCTGAAGATTCTCATAGTTAGATAGATAGTTGATTGTTCAGGGACATCTAGAAGCCCTTCTTTTTAGGAACGTAGGTTCCCTGGCGCAGTGGCGCACATTCTTTTCTATGGACGACAGCTTTAGTTAGGTTCAGGGTCCATATTTGTTTAGTCTCGCTGATAAAGAATGTTGATTATTACACTCCGAACTAGTTAAAACCTCAAACTACAGAAGAGTTCTTCAGAATTGATTGTGGCATCTCAATCAATCAATCAATCAATCAATCAATGTTTATTTATATAGCCCAATATCACAAATGTTACATTTGTCTCAGTGGACTTCACAGTTTGTACAGAATATCAGTATGACAATACGACATCCTCTGTCCTTAGACCCTCACATCATACAAGGAAAAAAAAATGGGAGAGCAACAGAGGAGGGGATCCCTCTCCCAGGACGGACAGACGTGCAATAGATGCCGTGTGTAAATTGAAAAGATAATACATTTGCAACATAGGTAGTCCAAATGTTTGGAAATGCATGTGTGTATAATAGGAAGATGAATCCACAAGGATATCCATCCAGGACTTATGATCCAGGACCACAGCCACGACTCAAGATCCAGGGCTAGCGATCCAGGACAGAGGAGCGCAGGATCATCCGTGACTCCGGATCCCGGCGTATACAGACACCAAAAAGAAAGACATTTGGGGAAGCTGGGTTAATCGGAACATGAGAGTACACAGGTATAGACAGAGAGAAGGAAGAAGTAAGATGTCCCCCGACAAACTAAGCCTATATCAGCAAAACTAGGGGCTGAATCTAATCAGCCCTAACTATAAGCTTTATCAAAAAGGAAGGTCTTAAGCGCACTCTTAAAAACGGATAGGGTGTCTGCCGCCCGAACACAAACTGGAAGCTGATTCCACAAATGTGGAGCTTGATAAGAAAAGGCTCTGGCTCCCATTGTACTTTTAGAGACTCTAGGAACAACCAACAACCCTGCATTCTTGGAACGCAATGCCCTAGTAGGACAGTAGGGTATAATGAGTTATTTAAGGTAAGATGGCGCCTGCCCATTAAGGGCTTTGTAGGCGAGAAGAAGAATTTAAAATTCTATCCTGTGTTCTATAGGGAGCCAGTGTAAGGCAGCCAGAACAGGAGTAATGTGGTCCCTTTTCCTAACTCATGGTTAGTACACGAGCTGCAGCATTTTGAATCAGCTGAAGCGACTTGACTGACTTCTTGGTACACCCTGATAATAAGGAGTTACAATAATCCAGCCTAGAAGTAACAAATGCATGGACTAGTTTCTCTGCATCGTTTTGAGGCAAGATATGCCTGATTTTTGCAATGTTACGTAGATGGAAGTAGGCGGTCCTTGAAATTGATTTTATGTAGGTGTTAAAGGATAAATCCTGATAAAATATAACACCAAGATTCCTTACAGTCTCACTGGAGGCCAAATTAATGCCATCCATAGTTAATATATCCTTAGATAATTTGTTTCGTAGAGTCTTTAGGCCAAGTACAATAACTTCAGTTTTGGTCGTGTTTAACATCAAAAAGTTTAAGGTCATCCACGTTTTTAAGTTCTTGAGGCAGTCTTGAATTTTATTTAGATGATTAATTTCATCAGGCTTGATTGATAAATATAGTTGAGTATCATCCGCATAACAATAAAAATGTACAGAATGATTCCTTATAATATTGCCTAACGGAAGCATATATAATGTGAACAAAATAGGTCAGAGCACTGAGCCCTGTGGCACTCCATGGCTAACTTTGGTTTGCGTGGAAGATTCATCGTTGACACACACAAACTGAGAGCGTTCAGATAGATAGGACCTAAACCAGCCTAAAGCAGTTCCCTGTACTAAGTGCTCTAGTCTTTACAATAAGATATCATGATCGATAGTATCAAATGCAGCACTGAGATCGAGCAAAACAAGAATAGAGACGAGTCCCTTGTCTGAGGCTATTAGAATGTCATTTGTGACTTTAACCAGAGCTGTCTCTGTGCTATGATGTGTTCTAAAGCCAGACTGAAAATCTTCAAATAAATCATTGTTTTTTAAGTAATCACACAACTGTTTTGCGACCGCTTTCTCAAGAATTTTTGAGAGGAATGGAAGATTAGAAATAGGTCTATAGTTGGCTAAAACCTCTGGATCGAGGTTGTGCTTTTTAAGAAGCGGTTTTATCACTGCTACTTTGAATGATTGTGGAACATAGCCTGATAATAAAGACATATTCATAATGTTTAATAAAGAAGTGCTAATTAATGGAAAAACTTCCTTCAACAGCTTAGTTGGAATTGGGTCTAACATACACATTGATGGTTTAGAAGAGAGAATCAATGAATTTAATTGTTCAAGGTTTATGGCTGAAAAGCATTCTAGTTTACTATCTAGTGTAATATTAGAACTTACGTTTCCGGGAGCTGTTGATAACACTATACTGGTCAAAGGCAAGAGGTCATTAATTTTGTTTCTAAGAGTAACAATTTTATCATTAAAAAAGCACATAAAATCATTACTACTGAGTGCTATGGGAATAGAAGGCGCAATAGAGCTATGGCTCTCTGTCAGCCTGGCTACAGTGCTGAAAAGAAATCTTGCATTATTCTTATTCTCATCTATTAATGAAGAGTAGTATGCTGCTCTCGCTTTACGCTGTGCTTTCTTATATTCATTAAGAGTAATATGCCAAATTAAACGAGATTCTTCAAGTTTAGCGGAACGCCATATCCTTTCAAGTTGTCTCGACTTTTGCGGGTTTCGGCATTATGCCATGGAGCTAATCTATGTTGTTTTATTTTATTCTTTTTCAAAGGAGCAACAGAGTCTAATTTTATTCGCAGCGCATCTGTAGCACTATCAACAACATGATCAATTTGGGGTGGTGTACATTTTGTATAAGTTTCCTCCCTTACATGCAGACATGCTATCGAGTTAAGTATTGGTGGAATCTCTTCTTTAAATTTGGCTATAGCACTAGCAGATAGGTTTCTGCTGCAGGAGCTTTTGACTAATGCTTTGTAGTCTAGTAACAGTACTTCAAAAGTTACTAAGAAATGGTCGGATAAAGCAGGATTATGCGGTTCGACTAATAGTTGCTCAATTTCAATACCATAAGTCAGAACAAGGTCGAGAGTGTGATTATAGCAGTGGGTTGGTTTATTTACACTCTTACGAAAACCAACAGAATCTAATATAGAGTTAAATGCAAGAGTAAGGCTATTTTTATCATCGTCAACATGAATATTAAAGTCACCTACGATAATTACTTTATCTGTTTTAAGAACCAAAGTTGATCAAAACTCAGAGAATTCAGAAAATAATTCTGAATAGGGACCTGGTGCACGGTACACTGTAACAAATAAGATTGTCTCAACCGTGTGTTCAACTCGTGGCCCTTTGACATGTCTTGTGAATTCTCCGGCCGAAGCTCCAAATAAACCGTCAGTGTTTGCCATCAAAGCTCCAGCTCTCCTCGTGTCTCTCTGAGTCCTGACTCCTATTGCTTCAGAAGTTTCCCCCACACTAACAAAAAAAAAATCAACCGCCAACATCTGCTCTCAGAGATTAAAAGTGTAAAAGATTTACACCAGTGGCAATGGGTTCAAAATATTTGCTTTTACAAAGAGACTTAAAACTAGTTACAGTAATAGCAGCTGAGACATTTTGCTAGCAACAAGCCAGGAGCAAAAATATGTAGACAGAGCAGGACTCTTCTACACTCCATAACAAATTAGAAAAGATGCCATCAAAAAATAGTTTCATTCCTTTTTGGTTTTTCTTCTGTAGCAAAATGTGACTATAAGTGCATTATGTTGCACAGCCTTGTGTTGTGCAATGATCCTCGTATGACTAATGATATCACTGATGTGTGAAAAACCAGTTGGCAGTTTAAAAAAGAAAGTCTGCTGTTGTGTTCACTTGGAAACTCCATTAATACAGAATACATACCAGAGTGTGGTATGTGACACAGTACATGTTTACTGTATAGGCAGATCAGGGGTGTCCATCTATGATGTCCTACTATCTACTAACTTTTCTCTCTATCTTATAGTCCCCTCGATTAGTTTTCCATCAGTGTGTTGTGAGGATCGAATGAGGTCACTGTGTGTGAGCTGCCAGCTAATTCACATGGTGGGCTGGAAAAAAACACATTTGTTTTTTAGGGCAATAGCTCCCCCTGTTGCCACAAATAACAAAATGTCCGACAAGTTTAACAAAATAACCCAGATGTTGGCCTCCGGTTTTAATACAACATAAACAGGACATATGTTCAGAGAAAACAGTCAATAATGCTAACGCTGATGTCTGATACAGAATTATTATGAATTTGACGACATCTTGATAAGAGTGGAGCAGTAACAGATGCAGGACAGTGGTGTTGTTTTTTGTACAAGTTTATATGGCTTAGGTCGGAGGTGTAATTACTGCAACAATGTAAACTAGAAATCCAAAACAGATTACTTATGGTATGAAGCTGGCAATATAATGTTGTATCCTCCCAGTTTTGTTCAGCGGCTCTTTGCTGATGTTTAAGGGAGAAAAGGGCTGAAACTAAAGATTATATTCATTGATGAATCATTTTTAATGTTGTCCCAGTATGCTTTCCCTTTCTCGTCCATCTGTCCTTCTATCTAATTAAAGCAACAATGTCAAAAAAATATCTTCAAGAAAATAAGTCTGAAAATGGTGGGGAAAAGAATGGTGGTCGTTCAGTGTTTCCCAGCCCAAGATAATGTCCTTAAATGTCTTGTGTCGTCCACAACTCTGTCTTTCCAGGTGAAGATGAGTGTAATCCTGACCTCACCTAGCATGTTTTTAGCTTAAGTCATTGTTTCTCGGCATGTCTGCAGACGCAGTGTGTGAGGTGGCTTCAGGAGCTCCTGCAGGTCTCCCTGGGGTGCCAGCTGGAAGGGAAGCAGCAGCCTGTTGTTCGCCTGGCTGCAGAGCGCTGCACAGCACTCCATCAGCAGCAGACACACCTCTTCATGACTTCGTTCTGCAGCCTGCTCAAGCATTAACAAATACAGGCACCAGGTTATAAGATCAATTAATCTACACAATACTTGATTGTTAAAAGAAGCCTGAATTATTTCCTGAATCACAGCAGCTCCATTTCAAACATCAACTAGGACAAATAATTAGGACAATAAACAAGACAACAGAAATTTAACAAAACATTACAATCACTAAAGACAATATTTTCAAGACCCTTTAACATGCATTTGATTTGGGATTAAACTAATTATTTAACTTTAGAGTTGACTGGTGCCCAGAACATTGCTTCAATCACATCCTAATACATTTTGGAAAGCAGTATCTCTGATTTGATGGTTATAATTTATATTAGCTGTTGAAGATGTGGTTGGGGTCAGAGACAATGTTGTTGGAAAGCCTCAATATGTTACTATGGTAGATTGAGTCATGGAGATTCTTAAAGGGTTGACATACAATCTTTGAGCAGATGTTTATTTGGTGGTGCAGTTTATTTTATACTGGTACTTCTGTACCTTATGTAGAGGAGAAGAACCGTCGTCATCGCAGAGCATTGGGTCTGCTCGGTGCTGAAGCAGGAGTCTGACCACATCCAGATGACCGCAGTAAGCTGATCGATGGAGTGGCGTGGCACCGCCTGGTGTCTGGGGAGATGCACAAGCACCACTCTCAAGAAGAAACTTGCAAACAGCGTGATGACCACTGCGACTTGCATAGTGCTGAGATAAAACACACAACAAATTATGCAATAATTTTAGATGGATTAAAACACTTGATGCTGCACACAAACATATTCCCAGAGAACTCACCAGAGCTGTGTAACCAGTAGAGTCTCTCAGGTTAGAGTCTGTGCCCTTCTGGGTCAAAGACTTGACCCTCTCCAAGTCCCCATCCATCGCAGCAGACCAGATACCTGCATAGAAGAATGACACACAGCACTGTACTTCCAGAAAACTATTGCCAAGGTGAACAAAATTCATTTAATACATATGTTATGTATTTTCAGAACTCTATTAGACTATGGTTTATGACAGGTGAATGCAAACCTCGTTCAAAATCCATTTCACTCAGCGTCTGGTAAACACTGGGAGAGGAGACTGGATTAGTGCAACACGAACATTGTGGTATGTCAGTCGCCATTGTGCATATAACAAAATAGTTACATACACTTTCAAAATAAAAGCTAAAGACTTGTTTTGGAGCTACAATCATGCATCTCCATGATGCTGTTTGACACTTCCGTGTTTTCTTCTTCTATCTTTGGTGGTCGACAACTTGGTGGTACATTACCACCACCAACAGGCTTAGCTTCAAAGCACACAAGCCTAACAAATATATGACTGTTTAACCGTATGACCATATATAAAGAGTATATGTTGCATTATAATTCAGATACAGGTCGAAACTACTTCAATAACAATTGTCTTTGGTGAACAAAACTGCAGGATGGCAAAACGTTTGCACCACCAGACCACCCGATATATAAAACAAGCGCACCTACGTGTGAAGGCTCCGACCAATCACAGGTGCGTATTAAGAAAGACCCCTTCAATGCTCTTAGATTTGTCGTATTTTGTTAAACTGAGACTCATTACTGCGTATTGCTTATGAAAAGCGAACTATCACATTTAAAGGATCTTAAAAAACAACTATTATTATCACCAAAAATAACACTATATATAAATTGATTATTTAATTGATTATATTCTAATGTAATTATTTTTAAAAATTGCTTTTTTAACAGTGACACTCTTTTTAGCAAAATGTCTGCCAATTAATTTTATATTAACCCACTCATGGTTTTAGTTAATAAAATATAATGTTGGGTGCTTTAATGTATACCAAATAATCATATTTTTAACGTGTTTCCTAAGTATCATGTGTCAAATCTAAATTTATAAAGTAACTAGTAAACAAGTGTGCACTACATAATTATAGTGGAGTCAAAAGTATATGCCACACCAAATTGTAGTAGAGTAGAAAGTAAGTTGGAAGAAGTATAACATCTAAATACTCGGGTAAAGTACACGTACCTCAAATAAATGTTTACTGAAGTACAGTACTTGAGTAAGTGTACTGAGTTACTTTCCACCACTGGTCTACCCTTGCTTTTAAATGCGTTCTTGAAGTTGGAAGGATTGTACGTACGTATGTTTTCCGACAGTTCCTGAACGCCTCTTGTGTCTCGTGTTGTTGTCTGATGCAGCTAGCTAGCCAGTAAGCTTGAGTCAACCGAGTGTTAGTTGGCAAACGCCACATTATCATTTAAATTATAACAAAGCACTAAATACCAAAGCGCCTAAAGCATGAGAAGAGTTACCCTGTTTGTTAACGGGACATCTAAAAATGGCAAGGTTTGTAAAAACAACTCTGGGGCTGTTTAGTTTAAGATCTGGGCCGCAGAATGACTGGCTTTTCCCTTTGAACATACGTGTTTAATTATAACTAGTGTACGTTAACTATAGTTTTATATTATCTATATATGTACATATGCAATAACATGTTCATATACAGTCATTGTAAACGGCTTGTCATTTTACAACATGTGATCTAAAGCAAGATGTGACTCATTAATCTGGTATGAGTGACCCATTTCAGACTGTAATCCTTTAGCACTGCTGTTGTTTCAGGTTGTAGCAGTATACGGGACCTTGTCAGATTTACTATCCGTAGCAAGCAATAAATTAGGAATCAAAGCTGTGTCTTTATACAATGGAAAGGGTGGTCTCATAGATGACATTGCCCTTATAAGGTAAACTAACACCATAATGATAAAACACATGTATCTGAGCGCATTGTGACGTGAGCCTGCAAGCCTAATCTGTGTCTGTGTTTTCCAACAGAGATGACGAAGTGTTGTATGTCTCAGAAGGAGATCCATTTATTGGTGAGTGTTGTGAACATCTTCTGCAGGCAAGACATGTAAAAGTCCCCACCAACTCTTCTACATAGGAGCTGAACTCAAAGACTTTATAAATGTGCAGCCTCCTTTTGCTTCTCTTTGTAGCTGTTTATTTTTCTTCTCTCTTTTGTTGACCAAGACTTTTGTTTTTGTCGTCCAACTACACCAGTACAATTTGTTTTTGACTGATAGATTAGATGATTTAGTTGACAGATCTATAAAACTTCTCCACAAAGCATCATGCAAAGGCACCTAAGATAGAACATTTGTTTAAAAAAGTCTCTTGTAGTTGTTTGGAGCCCATTTGTAGTAATGTTGTATCTCTTTGTAGTCAGGAGTATCTCCCAGTTGTTAGCGTCTATGTGTGAGACTTTCCCCTTTTTTTATACACTTTTTAAGACACTTTATATGTCACTTTAGAGTTTAGACCCTTGTGCCCTTGCCCAATCGGCTTGTCAGTAATCCACCCATGGCTGCAGTCTCATCTACTGTGTGTTTAAGTGTGAATATGGTGTCAGACACTTAGACTTCTTATCTGTTTTTGTATCACAGACCCTCAGAATGAGGCCAAGGTTACAGCTGATCAGCACGGAGCACACACTGATTGGCTGACCCTTAATATTGGTGGTCGTCCCTTCACCACCACCAGGTATCTGATGTTTTCACAAGTCTTAAAAACATTATAAAATACTTGTGGTTTCTTCTATAGCACAGTGTATGTTTTCTTTTGTTTTCCGGCTACATTTGCATTCATTTTCTTCTTTCCTAAATGTGTCTCTGTTTTGTGTTCAGGAGCACCTTGGTCAGCAAGGAGCCAGAGAGTATGCTAGCTCACATGTTCCGAGAGAAAGGTGAGCTGACAAGCCTTCAGACATTTCCTTTATTTTTATATGAGGCAGCCTCTCTGAATATGTTTTATAACCTCTGTGTTTGCTCCAGATGTGTGGGGGAATAAGCAGGATGAGCATGGAGCGTACCTAATCGACCGAAGCCCTGAATACTTTGAACCAATTCTCAATTACCTGAGACATGGTCAGCTCATTATCAATGAAGGCATAAATATACGAGGCAAGCTTTTCTGATGAACACTAAATAAGTCTGCCATTTGAATCCCTCTGAGGATGGGTTTAAAATGAAATCTTCTCATAATATTTGTCTTCCAGGTGTCCTCGAGGAGGCTCGTTTCTTTGGAATTGAGCAGCTTACTGAACAGCTGGAAGCCGCAATCAAGGTTATTTGAAGCGTGCAAAGTGAATTGTTTTAATGTGATAAATCTCCCATGAACGCATTGTGACTTCTCGCCTTACTTTCAAATCAGAACATTCAGCCAGCTGAGGACCACTCTCCCATTTCCCGCAAGGAGTTTGTTCGTTTTCTTCTGGCAACTCCCACCAAGTCAGAGCTCCGCTGTCAGGTATAGCCAAGTTAAAATGGGCTATATGGCCAACATCTTGTGGTATATGTCATTTTGCATCACCTGAACGGTATATATTATAAAAGTAGTATTTGTTCTATTAATCCAATTAATTAATGGTCTATAAATAACCAAACCGTACTTCATCACATTGGATTGTTTTCCTCTTTTGTTTGCATCGCGAAGCAAGATTTGTGTTTGAAAAGAAAACCTCAAAACTTAAATATTTTAAAAATAGAAGCTTTAGGATTCCTTAATTTTAAGGACTAAAGGTTTAAAGGTTAACATGTGCAAACAAATACAAACTACTAATAATGACTTAATTCGGCACAATATAAGAAACCAACACATTTATATTTTCGAGCAAACTAAAGGAAAATAAAATCTGCAGGTTTTGTTCATCTTTCATTTCAAAAAGAGGATAAAATACTTTTGAAAAAGTATCTGGTAACCATAACCAGAGTTCTTTTATATCTAATAGGAACAGTAATGCAGAATCTTGATGGTAAAATGTTTATCTTTGTTATATATATATATATATATATATATATATATATATATATATATATATATATATATTAGGGCTGTCAGTCGATTAAAAATATTTAATCTCGATTAATCGCATGATTGTCCATAGTTAATCGCAAATTAATCGCACATTTTTGATCTGTTTTAAATGTACTTTAGAGGAATATTTTTCAAGTTTTTAATACTCTTATCAACATATGAGTGGACAAATATTCTCATGAATATTAAACACAACAACCTCTGAAAATTACAAATATTCGCTTCAATTCAACCTGGGACCTAATACAATAAAAATGGTGTGTGTGTGTGTGTGTGTGTGTGTGTGTGTGTGTGTGTGTGTGTGTGTGTGTGTGTGTGTGTGTGTGTGTGTGTGTGTGTGTGTGTGTGTGTGTGTGTGTGTGTGTTGTGTGTGTGTGTGTGTGTGTGTGTGTGGTGTGTGTGTGTGTGTGTGTGTGTGTGTGTGTGTGTGTGTGTGTGTGTGTGTGTGTGGTGTGTGTGTGTGTGTGTGTGTGTGTGTGGTGTGTGTGTGTGTGTGTGTGTGTGTTGTGTGTGTGTGTGTGTGTGTGTGTGTGTGTTATGGATGGATGGATGGCTCGTTAATACCTGTGTTAACCATAATTAGTGGCGTTACTTTTTTTTTTTTATTAACGCGTTAACTTGACAGCCCTAATATATATATATATAGCATCATAATGCCAAACCCCAATGACCCCCATAATTTTCCCATATCCAGATCATATTTGACACCTTTAATCTCGCTGTCTTTAGGGTCTTAACTTCAGTGGAGCAGATCTGTCCCGACTGGATTTACGCTACATCAATTTCAAGATGGCTAATCTGAGCCGCTGCAATCTGACACATGCCAACCTGTGCTGCGCCAACCTGGAGCGGGCCGATCTGTCTGGAGCCAACCTGGACGTAAGCCTGAAAACCTTTTTTCTTGAAAGCAATAAATGATCCACATGCAGTATAAACCTCTCAAAAATCTCACTGTGGGGAAGTGAACGTTACTGTGAGTGTCATTCTTGTGATATTTGTATTTGTTGGCTGGTGGACTACTTTTTTCTCCATTTTACACCTCCTGCCCCCTCAATTGTGTGGAGGAAGGGCCCCTGTGTTCTTAAACATGTTTGCCAATGGCTCACACCTACTCACATTCACCCCATTAAAAAAGCAATGCTCACAATGATTTATCTACGGATGATTTCCTAAATGTTGTCTTTAAAAGTCTCTATTTATTAGTCAAAAACCTAAAGAAAATCAGTTGATTATGAAATAAAACAGAGAAAAGCAGAACATCCGTATTTAAAAGGATAACAAAAGGACTTAAAGGACAGCTCTAGTAAGTTTACATGCATTCCTTGTAGGGGTGTTTCTCAATTTGTGCTCTAATAGAACATTATGAGTACTTCTGATCTTTGTCTTTTGAAGGGTGCCAACTTACAAGGGGTGAAGATGCTCTGTTCCAACGCCGAGGGAGCGTCTCTCAAAGGATGCAACTTTGAAGATCCATCGGGATTGAAGGCCAACCTGGAAGGTAATCCATCACAACTCTTGGTTAAGAAGAGGCAGTTTTATAGTCGTGTTTTAACCCAATGTTTTTGTGACCAGGTGCTAACCTTAAAGGAGTTGACTTGGAAGGAAGCCAAATGACCGGCGTCAACCTGCGTGTGGCCACTCTGAAAAATGCAACGCTGAAGAACTGCAACCTGCGGGGAGCCACTTTAGCAGGGACCGATCTGGAGGTGAGTCAGGGCCGTCAGACGGGGTTATCTCTGAAACATGTTGGCTCAGCTGGCAAGTGACAATGGGATTTACTACAACTTTCTAGCAGAACACAGAATGAGTCTGATGAGTACAACAAATGCAATCTTCTTTATCGTTATTGCAATGTAATGGTCTTCCTGCATTTGGTTGTTTATGTTTGACACTGGTTTCACAAATAGATAAAAGTGTCCCTACTGGAGATTTCAATTAGATTTAGCCAGATTGTAAAATAAGCATGTTTTCGAGTGCCTTGTGCTCAAAGTAGAGGACTAGCTTTTTGAACTTGTAGTTCTTATGTGATTATCAATTAATATATCAAGTCAGGAGGCTTCCCTCTCTTGTATAACATAACCTTAACCATCAATTATAAGGGTCAGCCTTTGGAAGCTTACATATTTTAGAGAAGAATTGCCAATTTTGTTGTTTTTTTACTTTTCTATGACTCAAGGAATCTTTTGGGGTTTTCACTGGACTTATTAGGATAAAATAAATCTCGTTGTCATTGTAGAGAACACAGTAAAGTCAGGAGCGCTACTTTTGATCAGTGCAATTACAAGACACAGAAACTAACATCACAGAAACAAAACACTTTTAGCAAAAAGACATCCAAAGCTGACAACAAAGGTTCTAACATAATAAGCAAAACAAATAATTATAATTTCATTTGTTGATGGAATAAGATTATGTATGCACTAAGCACTATGCACTACTATGTATGTTATGCACTAAAATATATGCAATCAATGCATTTAATCCTCCTGGTTTACACTTAAGTCTCTGCTGCCTTTTTTGCAGAACTGTGACTTGTCTGGCTGCGATCTCCAAGAAGCCAACCTGAGAGGGTCCAATGTGAAAGGGGCCATTTTCGAGGAGATGCTGACCCCTCTGCACATGTCCCAGAGTGTCAGATAACTGCACACACCAGTGTCAGTGGGGGGGCGCAGCTGGCTTCTTTAATACTCTCTCCTTCAGTATATTCCTCTACTTCCAATCTGTCTGTAAAGCAGGTAGTTGTATGCACATCCCTGGCATTCCACCTTTATTAAGTTAGCTTTAAATATCTTGCACTATAATTATTCAGGGTTGTTTGTATGGTAGGACGTTTTAAATGTTCAGCTGCGTATATCACCAAAACCAAATAATGTTCCTCGTGTACGTAGATGTGTCTGGATGCAATCCAATGAACTGTACTAATTTAATGTTCTTCATCATTTATATTCACTTCATCTTACTTGACGTGTTAATGGGAGTTAAAGTCAGATCATTTGTGAGCAGTGAAGTTCAGAGCTGAGCTTCACTGTGCTGCCGTAGCAGAAACAGAAAGTGGCACTTACCAATAACTGTGGTGTTATATAATCTTCTTTAACTTAATTTTGCTGGATTCAACATAAATAAAGGAAGCAATGCAAGCCAAAGCCATAAGGATAGCACAGTCTAGAAGGCTAAAAGTGCTGTTTGCACACCATGAAACTATGCGACAGCTTGGTTATGCAATACATGATGTTACAGCTGTGAGGTTTCTCCTTTCTGACTTTTAAATAGTGTGTTCTTTAAAAAAAAGAAGCTTTCCCTTGTTTGTGAATCTACCTCTTTTTTTAATCTGGTGTGCAAGTGATCCACAATTGCATGCATTCGACTGTGGCACTGCTTATTGTAATGTGCATGTATGACATTCATTATACTTCAGTCCCCATTTGAAGAAAAACAAATGCTGTGCTTTAAAAGAAAAAGCCATTTTCACATGCTGTTAAAGTGGGTTTGCCTGCAAACATGCTCCATGTATCAATGTATATCACTTAATCATGCTTCGAACTTATTTGCACAACTACATGTTAACTTGTATACCTTCTCACCAAAAATTGTTGGTGCTTGTAATCTTATGTAAATCTACTCCAGTGTTTCCAAAACTTCTGAAATTGTTATTGTATGGTAAGCTGGTTTTGTCAGTTCTTTCTGTTTGCATGTGTGAAGACTCTACTCGTCTCTGACTGGTGAAGTTTCTCTACCTGTAGCTCAAAGCTGCTCTGATGCAATACTATTCACTAATTGTTGGTACCCAGCCTGTGAGAATGAACGATGAAGGCAATCATACAATTGTGTATTTTCATCTCGAAAATCCAAGGAAGAGCTATGAGTATTTATTTTTAATACATCTCACTGAATGCAACACGAGGCGGAGGTTGGTTTGTGTTTTAGACAGGTCTCCCTGTCTAAGATTATTGCACTTGACCGTGGAAATATATTTCCATGAATGACTGTTATAAATAAACTGCTATGAAGAAGAAAAAAATGGTCATGATTTGTAATCCTTTACTGTGTCAGTTTAGAGTGTTTTGTACACTCGAAGTGCGTCATTTAAGAGCCGGAGCTGAACATTGTCACCCCATGTTGGGCTTTGTTTGTGGAGGGCGGAAAAAAAACACCAAGTGTCATCTTGTAATAAATAGAGGTAAGTGTTAAGTGTTTTTTTAATCCCACTTTGTAACCCCCTGTAGGGCCACAGGTTTATATAAAGCTTGGAAAACTGCAGCAGGATTCACAAAGGACAGCAGACGAGACAAATCAGAGGACAGAAGGTGAGAAATTCTCCTAATATTGTACATTTGAAGAGTGTTAATTAGGGATGAAAACCATACCAAAAGTAAATTATTATGTATATTATCCCCCTCAGAATGGCTCCAAAGACGTTGGTACTGTGCCTGCTGCTCATAGCTGCAGCGCTGCCTCAGGGCGGCTGTCAGCACTGGTCCTACGGCCTGAGCCCCGGAGGGAAGAGGGACCTGGACAGCCTGTCGGACACGCTGGACAATGTAGGCATTTATCATTCTTATAATGGCTGCCAACCGGTGTCCTCAGCATTAGTTACTCCTATCATTTTCTCACATGCCCATTACATTTGAATAAGGTGTATTGATGGTGTACCAATCAAAGGGTCAGTCGTTCAATACTTAGTAGCAGCAGTAACATTTCAAAGTGTCCTTGGGCAGGATACTTAACCCCACATTGCTCCCATCGTCATGTCGACATGTTGAAGTGTATGTAAGTCGTTTTGGATGGAAGCATCAGCTAAATTACATTTAATATAATATGAAGGTTTGTTATGTTTCGGATTTATTTGAACTCGGGGAAAGTCCGAATATTCACGTGTGAATAAATAATGTTTAATTTAGGATCTTATTTTTTAGGATAACCATTTACTTCCTTCCACTACTTGTCAGACATGAAATACTTCATTATGTTTTTTATTGAAAGTATTATCGATACATATGTGTGATATTCTTCTCTTTGGTTTGATTTGATTACATTTAGGAATATACCATCTAATCGAATCTCTTTTTGCACATATTTGCTGCGATGATCTTCTTCCAGCAGCTGGTGGAGGCGTTCCCACACGTGGAAACACACTGCAGTGTTCTGGCTTGTGCTGAGGAATCACCCTTTGCCAAAATGTACAAAACCAAAGGATTTCTTGTAAGTTTTTCTCATTTGTTCTTCTGTGGTTAGTTGTAAACCACCTGCTGGTTCTAATAAAGTTTTAATTTATTCACACAAGGTTTAATTTCTCATTCTCTTTCAGGGCAGTGTCACTGACAGGGGTAATGGACACAGAACATACAAAAAATAAAGATTTTTTGATTGAACAATAAAATATCATTTATGCATGACACCATTGTTGTGGTTATTGTTCGACATGTGCAAATCACAAATACTAGCTACTACTACACACTCATTAACCTTTTCAAGGATTTCTACCTCAAAATATATCTTTTTTTATGAAACAACATCAAATATATATAGATACATATCTTGGAGGATTATGTCCTAGCAAATTCAAACTTCAACATGAAATTTAAAAAGAAACAAAATAAAGTCCTCCAGATAAAAATGCGTTAAAGTGTTCAATTCAGGATATTTGCTGGTCTTATATACAGCCTGTTTATGTAAATATAACTCATAAGAAGGAACAACAGAGTCATTACATTTCTTTAGTGTGGCACCATGAGTTCAGCGTTTGGAGGTTACATCCACTTAAAACCGAAAAGGTGAATTATTTTCAAAATAGTTCTTCAGTTTCTTCGCATTTATCTCTACACCCTCCCTACTCACTACTTCTCTTTTGCTTCACCTTTTTTAAATGGATGGAGAGGGATGGCTCTTCATCTTATCTCTCTCCTCTCTCCCATCCACACTTCCATCCATTAAATCCCTTAAACCTTCCTAATCCAGCCGATATCTTATTTCTTTCCGCCTCTTTACCGTTTCCATCCTTAAATTTGATTACTCTTCCTCTTTATCTTTGTCTCTTTCAACATTTTTTCTGTACCTCTCCACCTTCCCCTTATTGTTCTTCATCTTGTGTTTAATCTTCTTTCCTCTCCCTTCCTTCTGCTCAGCCTCATCTTCCCTAATTAGCCTCACTACCCTTTCACTCTTTTGTCTCCCTCATCTTCTATCCACCTGAATGGTTCCTCCTCCTTCATCTGTAGCTCTGCTTTTCTTTTACCTCTTACTTACAATGTCACATCCTCCTTCCTTCTCAACCTTTTCTATTCCTGATTTCCCTTTTCTCTTCATCTTCTTCATGTCTTCTGTTTCTTTACCTGCCTTTCAACTCCCCTGTTTGCAGCTGTGAAGTCTTTCCAGTTCCTCCCACCCTTTCCTCCCTCTTACCTCTCCTCTCTCTGTCCCTTACTGTGTTCTTTAACCTGCATTCCACCTTTTTAAAAGGGAATGGAGAGGGAAGGCTTTTTATCTTACCCCTCTCCCCCCTCCACCTCGTATCGCCACATCCTCTCAATTCTGTTTGACAGCTCTCTTTCATTCCTTCTTCTAATATCCATATTTTCTATCCCTCATTTGTCCTCCTCACCCTATATATATATATATATATATATATATATATATTTCTTCTCCATCCTGCCACCCTTTTTCTTTTTCATTTTATTTCGTACATACACTAATTTATTCGCCTATCTTCTTGGTCAATATCTCTATTTTGTGTCCTTCCTCTTGTCTTCTGTATCTTTTATGTTTCACTCTCTCCTCCTCTTCCCCTTCCACTCTTCTTTACTCTTATTGACGTCCTTATTTATTTTCATTTCTTGTATCCGCTCTTCTTGCTTTTCATCTAATTCCTTCCTCTTCAAAGCCCCTCTCTCTATCTCTTGCTGCCTTGCTTCCCCTCACATGCCTTTCTTTACTTCCCCTCCCTCACTTACCTCCCTTTTTCTCTCTCAGCTTCATGGGCAGCACGTTGGCCTCGCAGGAGGAAGGCGCTGCCGTCTTCTCTGATCAGAGCCTTCTTCCTGTTTGCACGTTCTCCTCGTGTCTGCCTGAGTTTACTCCTGGTGCTCTGGTTAATTGGGAAATTCTTTGTAATTCAAGCTCAATTAAACAGTTAAAAATAGAAGTGTTTCTGACTATACAAATCTTTATGACGTTTTTTTTACTGCAGCCTTTGCTATGATGATTTGATAAATATTTAATGTTAGGCTACATTTTGAGATATTGGAAATGTTGTGCATTCTTTCTGTTTGCACATTTAAACTCAAACATTATTTAATGCAGTTTTATAATACATTACATGTTACTTGTTAGATGCTTTTTTAGTTTTTATCCAAAAAAATAATACATTTTCCGATCCATTGTTTTGCCAGTACATAATTACATGAGAAGGATATTGTATTTTTTAAACCACATTTATTTGACAACCTTCTGAATAAGAGTTTCCTTTAAAACACATGCTTAGCTTATAAAGTCTACCAAAAATAAATGTCCCCGTTAAAATTCTCCCATGCTTTAGTTTAAATTCGTGTCACTTTAACAAATATTTCACGAAATACTAAAGAGGAGAGAATAGTTTCAGAAATGAATATGTCTGCAGCAGAAGTTTGTTTTTCCTAATTTCATACCAAATGAATCATCTCATGACCCCTCAGATTTATCTCGTGACCCTGTGGACAGGGTCTGACCTCTGGTGTGTGAGGAGGAACCACTGGACTCAAATATATAGAGTAGTAATCAGATTCACCTCCACCAACTATACAATGGTACGATTCTGCTTTCAAAAGCTCTGTGTTTGATGTATCATTAATGTCCATTGTATATTAAAATGTACATTAATACATCAGTCACAGAGGCCAGTTTTCCACAACATACTTTTATGTTGATATTTTTAAGTACATTTTGCTGATAAGTCTGTAACTTAAACTAATACTTACCATTTCTAATAAATGACTTTAACTTGGATGAAGTATTTTAACATCAATGTACTGGTACTTTTACTAAAGTCATACATTTCCACTCCTACTCGACATGTGCAACACAAACTAACAAATGTGAGTGTGCAGTTTACTAACAGGGTTTGGAGAGATGAGAACAACAGTGCTTTGAAAATAAACCTTTATCACAGATGAAACACATGTTGTAAATGAGGGAACAGTTACCCTTACTTGATCACACCTGTGCTTTTCCTGCTTTCCTGCAATCTAAAGTGCTTCACATATTACTGAATATCAGATGCCATGACATTTCAAAAAGGTCCGCTGTTCAAACAGTCTTTTGACATTTCTAAAGTAAAACTTCATGGGTCAAATCAACCGGGTCAAGACCAAGGGAAGATTACAGGACTTAAGAATTGCTTTTATCTTTTTGCATTAATTAAACCAGGTCATTTTGACCCAAACAACACATCAAGGTTTATTATTCTCTCAGCCACCAGATGGCACTAGGAAACAACATCAAACTGCATCCCCAAAGTTATTACTTCATCACTGAGTTTAATGTAATGTCTGATTCATAGAATAATGTACCATAAATCCAAACCATCTAAACCATCTCTCCAACTGCTGCTGATATTTTATCTGCGGTATTTTCCGTAAGGCTGGATCAGATCCTGATAATACTTAATAATTGACTGCATTTTATTGTGTTTGTTCACCATGAGGACATGTGTCTGAAGCCAATTTATTGTATTATAATAGCTCACCGCTCCGCTTGCTTCACGCACACTCCACAATCTCCTTTGGATTATAAAAGATTTTATTCCCGGTTGGATGGGCAACATGAAAATGATTTTACCAGGTAACCCATGTGTGTGTGTTTGCTAATGGCGTATGAAACTTAAACAAACTGAATAAGGAATCGAAGTGCATTCATCACAGAGATGTGACAGTGATACAACAGCCTGTAATATCCTGCTGGCAAGAGTATGGGGAGCTCACACTCTTATCTCAAATGGAAAGTGTGTTTTTCAAAGAAGTCCAATCTGTCTGTCACTCTGCTGTTACTCAGCAAACACACTCAACTAAAAAACCCTTCTGTAGATTTCTGCTTTTTGTTGAACATACACCCGACATCATATGAGTATTTTTCTTTATTGGAAGTGATTTGATAAGAGATTTACATATGAAAGGCAAAGCAGAGCAGCACATATTTATCTAAAATCAACACCATTACAGATAACAACTCCAAGTGCTCACCTACCCTCCACTTTAGAATGTTAGACATCATATCAGAAGCATTACTTATCAATTAAGAGCAAAGAAACACATTATAAAAGGACATATAAAAACACCTTAAAGAGCCAAACAATATAAATAAAAACAAGCTTAAAAAGAACAGATGTCAAATACAATAATTAATGATGCAGAGCTGGGTTAAATATGTTTTTGATTTGAAAAAGAATTGGCACACAAATCAACTTTGTTTCTTAATGAGACTGTTGAATTCATGTCGGATCCATGACTGCTAATAGATTTCTGGACTTTGTGGTTTTCAACATGGCTGATTGTAGCTGATAGCTGACTTTTAATTGTTCCTCCTTGGCTTGAAAAACAGTGGACACAGCAAGGCTCTTTTCTGCTCAGTTTCCAGTCTTATGGTTAAATAAGCTAACTGGCTAGAGTAACGTCAATCTCTTTTATTTTGATATCACTCTCTTGTCTGCATGATAAATATGAAGCTACAGACAGCCAAACTGGCTTTGTCTTAAGATATCAAAACCCAGTACTGGCACCTCTAAAGCTCTTTACATAATATGTTAGGTTTAATCCATACGAAAACCAAAGTGTAAAAAGGCACATTTTTCATTTTCCTTGGGGTTATAAATATGATAATTCCTTGGCTGAGACCAGTAATTGGAGTCTGCATTGGTCGCCTGTATGCTCCCAGCCAAAACATAATCCAGTTCAAGCTCCCTATAAAACCACAAGCTGTCGCTTTCATACAAGCATTTTATTTTTTTCTTAAACAAATGAGACAGCTGTACAGTTTGGTGTTAGTTAATTAATGAGCATCAGAGCTGCTGGTACTGTGTTTTTTAACCTTCAGATTGCTGTCTCCTACTGTTTCCAGTGTTTATGCTTAGATAGCCATCTCCTGGCTCTAGTTACATATTTACTGTCAAATAAGCACTATCTTTCTAATAATGCCTTTGTTTCCTGGTAAGACATGCATATGAATCATCATGCAGAGGAAAATGGCTCTTGCTGGAGCCCCTTAATTGAATGCAGACATCATTAAGGGTACTGTATTAATTAAACCTGTGCTTTCTCTGGCACGTCTAACTGTCTGCTGTATGAATCAACTCTACAGGCCCCTTTCACAGCTGCCATTTTGACAAAACACAGGTGTAATGACTGTATAACAGTGTTTGTATACAACAATTATACACCCTAATCTTCTTCAACCTTGAACAAGCAATTCAAATAAAAAGGAAAAGTACAGTTTGTGCAATCCCCAGCAATAAATAAATGTTATGTCCCACTTTCGTTGACATACTTATTTTCAAGCAAAATAACCACCTGAGCGAGCTTGGTCACTAGGGCTGCTTCAGGCTGCCGTAGTCCCTCAAACCTTCTTTAATAAAGTGCCTTTAATAGCATAGTGCCCCGTGTCAGCTTGAAGGAAACTCATTGAAACCCCTGAGGAAGCTGTAACCAGGCAACTAAAGCAAGCTGGTCAACCTCTTACTTTCTGATCAAAGAGAAATGGAGGTCAGACTCAGAGGCCACTTCGTAAATTGTCAAGGCAAGATTATGAAGATGAAATGCTTAAAATAATCTCATGATCTATCTATCTATATATCTGTATTTACTTATATAACTCAACATGTTTTTGTATTCCTGTTCAATGCCTTGATAACCTTTCAAAGCTGTAACACAATCATTTTACATCTAGGGATCAATAAAGTCCATCCATTCATCCATTCATCCATCTTTAAGCCTCTATTCTGATCTCATTTTCTTCATGTGAGGTCTCAAATCCAATCCCCAGGAAAAACTGGCCAATTAGGGGGTTTCTATTCCTGGCTGTCAAGTCTGCTTGTGTTACGCAAGACAACAGTCTGTGTGTGTGTGTGTGTGTGTGTGTGTGTGTGTGTGTGTGTGTGTGTGTGTGTGTGTGTGTGTGTGTGTGTGTGTGTGTGTGTGTGTGTGTGTGTGTGTGTGTGTGTGTGTGTGTGTGTGTGTGTGTGTGTGCGCGTGCGTGCGTGCACGTGCGTGCGTGTGCGTCTGTTATTAATATTACAGAAGACACAGGAGAAATGTAGTAAATGTCTGCAGTGCATGGTGGCTATTTCTACATTTATTCACAAAGCAGAGACATTCATGACTGTTTTGACTTGAATTTTATTTGGAGGATTACATGTGTGTAACCCCGGGGTCTGACTCATGAGCAGGCTGACAAAATGTCCATGTTGTTGTGATTTCCAAACAGGTACAAGACAGGGAATGATATAAACACTCCCTCACAGAATGAGGAAACGTCCAATTCAAGGTGGAACATTAGGGAAATATGATAGTAAGAGGAGAAGGAAATACCAAGTTGATCTATGTGTTTGACCCCTAGATGAGCTACCTGTCACTTTCAATGCGTCCTAGAGATGTTAGCATGTTTAACACCATCTTTAGGATTCCAGAGGCAACAGTCTAACTCCCTCTGACCTTTTCATCTGCCAGAACAAAAAGATTAGTTCCTTATACCCAAGGGGATCAAAGGTATATGGGGCCAATTACTTTATCTGACATCATTGCATACAAATGAAAAATTGTTTGCAGCACGTGATAGCTTATATAACATATATTTTAAATCATAAGGCTTCGGGGGACTCTGGAGATTCACTGTAAATGCTGTGTTTTTTAACACGTAGATCTTCACATGTAGGATTTCGACATAAAAAAGACTTATATTTCAATAAGGCAACACAAAAAGCTACAACTAATTAAAAATGCAAAACAGGGTGAATGATATCCTCTTCTTAGGAAGGCACAAAAAAAACAGTGAATTTAAATGCTGAAAACAACACCTTGAGGAAATCTCTCGCCAGCGATGTAGTTCATGTTGTTCCTGTGATCGGGAGAGACTGCTTATGCGAATCTTTCTAAATGAAAAATGCGGAGAGCCAAGATGCTAATGTTGTTGGAACGGCTCTACTGACAAGGAGAGTGTGGCCCTGTGGACTCATTGCATTTTTGCTTCAGCTGAGCTTCATTTCATAGCGCAGTAATGTGCTCGTATTAGCCCCTTCGCTGTTACGTTGGTAACAATATAAAATGGCACCATTTAAGTTCCAGTTATTGTCAAGTGTCGCTGGAGTACGTCAGCACCTCCGGCATCTTGGGTCCGTTCTTCCACACGAAAAGAACACCTGCTGCTTCATTCAGTGGTTTTTACAAAGGAAAGACAGGTGAGCAGAGGGGAATGACAGTCTCTAAAGGCCAGCTCAGGCAAAAAAACACTGTCAATTATGTCCTAAAGGACTTCTGAGAGCTCTCTTATGGGCTAAATGTCCCATGGAAAACTGTTTGGTGGGTTGAGTGAGTCGCTGTCAGTTCAAAAACAGGTTTGATTTTCTGTAAGCTGTCAAAACATGCAACTCTTAACCTCCTGACTTCATTTCCAAGGCTATAAAGCTGCAAAACCTAACCCTGATGTACTTATTTGAGACCGATGTGAGTATAACTGTTAACATGCCTTCCCACAGCATGAATATTTAACACAATTCCCATTGATGTGTCATGCTGTTTCTTTTCTTTCCCATGCTATTTAAGATCTAAGGCATAAAACACAACACTGATTTATTCAACACTACAAGCACATCTAAAATGTGTTGTGATCTCAGACGCCTGAATGATGAAGCACATTTAATTTGAACTTTTAGAAAGAGACATTCTTTTTTATAAAACTGTATGTACGATTCTTTTTTTTACTGTACACAACATACCACAGCAAAGACGTGTTTTGTTTGTGGGCACATCAACACTTTAATCCCGCACTTCACACAGTTTCCTGAAGTGGAAATGATGCAGTCTGGACGTAACATTCTAAACGTAACATTCTATGCTTTTTTTCCTGACAACTTGAAAATGTGACACCTCCTACTAGAGTACAGTAAAGTACAATGGATTTTCACTTGAAGTCGATTTTGGAGCATATCCATTCACACCGACTTCAGGAATAAGCCGTCACATAACAATGGAAGAACACATTGTCTGGTACACCATCAACTAAACAGTATTTGTAATTGCCTTAATTTAATTCAAATTAGACATACATTTGTGAAGTAAAACCTGTTTTGCATGTAAATTGTTGTCAAAATATGTCACGATCTTATTGATCTTGTTACAGTAAACAATCTCGCAAAGCTTTCTCCTTTTGTGCTCAAGTTTTATGGGAATATCTTAGAAATGAGAAAAAAATGTGCTGCACTGCTGAGAGTTTAATTTGCTGAACACTTGCCAAAAAACCATCAGTTTGTCACAAGCAATGACACTTGTATCTGAAACACTTGGAAATCGGAAGTTGGACAATTAAACCGAGAAAATGTCGACCTCCCTAGTTGTCCGGAACGCATCATTAGGACAAATCAATTATCTGGTAAAACTGCGATGGATGTGGATGAACTGACAACCAACAGGGCAGTTTAAAATATATTCTGTGTTCAACACACACTCAGAGAGCAAGGCAGACGTGAAGTTTGGCAAACAAACTGAAAAGCAGTACACGAAGATCAAACAGGCAAAAATGTAACTCATCTAAACAAAAGATTACAACATAGACGCTATCATTAAAGATAAGAGATAGTAAAGTTTAATTCAATACCATAAAGAAAAGTGACGTACAACAGGTTTCCTAGGAGATATCTGCTATGCTACACAGTGCTCTTTATTCCCCACCACACCATTAATTATAACTGTGTTACATATTTTACAGGCTATACGAGTATTTAGTAATGTTATATACAGCAGACGAACCGTGCTCTGACATCGCCCTCCACTGCCTTTTTTATTTTGTTTTATGGCACTTGATATATGGTTGTTGAATGGCACATTTATGAGTAAAAACATCCCACACGCACAATACACTGCAGACCTTGGCGGACAGAGTGGAGTGTATCTCTTGGAAAGGTTCTCTGTAAAAGACCATTACAATGAATGTGGTGATTTTAGGTAATAAGAAATGCATTAAGATGATGGGAGTAAATAGTTTAAATGAACGCCTGGAGGCACATTTAATGCACTAATGTTCCCTCCTTCAGTATACTCAATAAACTACTCTGTCGATAATCATTAACAAAGCACATTTTACAATCTCTTAATATGTCGTCAATACTATTAATATAAAACAGCAAAACTGAGAAAAACATTTGCAGTTTCTAAACCCCTTTAGTCCATTTACATCTCTTGAGTGGTTCCATTGCTCACATTTTAATAAGAGAAAGTGTGAAAAGCAACTCCTTAATAGCTGACATTTTTTAAAAACGTGACAATCTGAGTAGATCCCAGTGCTTTAGAGAGAAAACATGACTGATGAATACCAGATTAAAGCTGTCTCTTCATTTGTATGTGCCCACAGCACATGGGGAAAGGACTATACAGACTGCAAAAGTGCTCATGTGAAGTGCCTTCATACCTTACAATACTTGTCCGACCTTTGCACCATCAATTTGTTATCTACTTCCCCTTACATGTGAATCGATGGCCTCACACCATACAGGTTAACTGTCTTCAGTCGAATCTCTGGGCTGCTGTTGTGAGATTTATAACCTTGTAAATGTCAACCTCAATTTTGGACGCAACAAAGCAAGAAAAGCTCCAAAGGATGACACAATGAGGGCTGAAGAGGCCCCCAGAAGTCTCTTTGTCTTTCACTGAAAAGGCTTGGGTTTAAGTATTGATGCTGATAGATCCATTGCTCAAAATTGACCCCTTGGTGACCTCTGTGCTGATGGTGGAGAGGGGCACGCTCTCGTACCTCTCGGTCACCCCCCAGCAGCGACAGCGCAGTAGGGTGGACTTGAGCTGTTTCTGGAAATTGCTGTTGAGGAAACCGTAGATGATGGGGTTGACGCAGGTGGAGGCCATGGCCGTGAGGTGGCAGAAAGAGAAAATTACGTCATGGCCACAGGACGGGATGGCCTCGTGGTTCCAGTCGAACACCGTGTTGAAGATATTGAGCGGGAGCCAGGAGACGGCGAATGCCACCACGATGGCGATTAACATGGCGTTGATCCTCATGGCCCCTTTGTTTTTCTTTTGGGTGGTGTTCCTGCCGCGCTCCACCATGTCCTTCCTCCTCCTGAGGCGCAGGTAGACGTGCATGTAGCAGAGCATGACGAGGGTGAGAGGGAGGAAGTACTGGAAGATGAGCAGGGAGGTGGTGTAAGCTCGCCGCTCCTGAACGGATGGCCACCGCTCCATGCACACAAGCTGGTCGCTGACTGGGAAAGGCATGCTGAGGTTCTGGAAAGGCGCCATGAGGACGCTGTACGAGAGGAAAGGCACAGAGATTAGGCACGCCACGGTCCAGGTGACAGCCACCGCCAGGTAGGCCTGCCCCACCATGGGCTTCCATCCAGTCGGGTGGACAATGAGCTGGTAGCGCTCCATGGCGATGAGGACGAGGGAGAAGATGGACACAGTGACGGATATACACTGGATGAAGGGCGTGAGCTTACAGAGGAGGTCCCCTAAGATCCAGTGGTCCATCAGGGTGTAGATAATGGTGACCGGCAGGCACACAATGCACATGAGGATGTCAGCACAGGAGAGGTTGGCGATGAAGACGTTGGTGACGTTTCGCATCTCCTTGTGCCGTGTGATTACAAACACCAGGCAAGAGTTCCCAATGAGACCCACCGCCATTACCGTGCTGTAAGCGATGATGAGGAAGGTGGTGCCACTCACTGAGAGGGAGCAGTCATCTGTGAAATCCCACGGTATCTCCTTCCACAAGGCTTGGTTGTGGTTGGTGTTGTGCTGCAGCTCCATGGTGAATTTCCTGGGCTCACTTCAAAGGTTGTGGAGTAATCAAACTAATTTATTGTGTCACACCTGCTGTAATTACTTCATGAATATCATTTGCATTCTTTTACAGCTTTCCCCCCATCCTTAATTCTCCCCAGTGTATGGACCAGCCTTCATTTGCTGCCTGAAAAACAGAAAGAAAATGAAATGAATAACCTTAAATAAATGTCAAGTCATGAACGTTTTTTTATAAAGTTATGAACTCTTGATATATATAGAGGTTGGTGTATCGCTCAAATTGAAATGTAGCTGCTGTAAAAAACTGCAGCATGAAAAGAAATTGACCCCTGCTGAAAAAGCTAATTTCATCAGAGACTGTTCCTTCTTTTAAATGAGAATACGTGCCATAAACGAATTCTAAATACAAGACGGGGCTTTAAATCTCAGTGCCCCGCGTGTAATTCAACAAGTGTTTTTGATGTGTTAAGTGTTCCAGTTTCACCTTAGCACACGCTGCCAGTGATTCATTAAAGCCTAACAAAAAACAGAGACTTAGGAGAGGAATATTTGATGTTGTTATGCAGATATCATGAGATACATGTTCTATCTCCTCAAGGACATAAGAATAAATGATGCGCTATAATGACACGGTAATTTCAATCTCCATCACAATACATAATGATGACTGCTCCTTTAGAGACCAATTTATTCAGTTTTTGTCCATAAAGGAACATACACCACTCATTGTCGCTGAGCATTCACAATAGCTTCCCCGACGCTAAAGCACATTTAGTTCTCCCAATCTTGATGAATTAATGTACTGGAAAGAAAGCAAAACAGAAATACAATTTTGTGGCACCAAGAACATCTTACTAGTGTGTGTGGACGTGCCATATTCATGTGTCTGGATGTGTGTGTACAGCAGTGAAAATAGCACTGATTAACCAAACTGTTTGGCCCAAGGCTCATTCCTCAGATAATAGTTTTTCATCACCTATGTTCTAACAGAATAAAATCTACAGGATTTAAAAGGACCATAGAGGACTCCTAATGAAGACGTGGAGAGATAGGACGGTCTTTGCTTGTGGCTGTCCCTATGATGAGCAGAAATGTTGTATGTGTTCATGTGTGGTGTTCTCAAAGAAAGACAGAATAATCATAACAAAAAGTAAACCCTTGTACCTGGAGCTAATTGCGGTAAAACCACTTGAATTTATTCAGTGGTTCACACTCTTCTCTGTCAAGGCGTCTGGATAATTAATCCTCCCCCTTGATGTCAACCCGATTAAACCTGGCTGGATTTCTGGATATGTGGCGCGGTATCATGCTGCAGCCTTGATGCTGATTATTTATGGCAGAACTTGGACACTTAAAGTGATGTATTGCTGCGTGTTGTGTCTGCTGGAAAATGGCAGTCCGAGGGGTAACTCATAAAGACATGGTCTGCATAAAAATATACTATTTGAAAGCAAAACCAGAAAAAGAAACAAGGATTCATGGGAATTTATCTAAAAATAGTGTTAACAGCTGAGCAATAATTTAAAATTATAATTGTTGTCTCTCTGTGGAATCCTATTGCAATTAACTTATATATATATATATATATATATACATACATATCAATACATTAATATTATGATACACAATACAATTCTCTAAATTGATTGAAGAATGACATATTTGACTCAGCAAATCAGATCAAACCAAGTTAAATAAATCTATTGTCTTATTTGTATTACTCTGTATGTTTCGCATGCATGTAACATATTAGTTATATATGTGTATATAATTTAACTTGAAACTTAAAAACATTTTTGCACTCAAATTAATCATACAACTAGGAAATAATTTTCATTTGTCATGTATTTTGTTCACACAGGAGAATTTAAAACCGGTTTTCCATGTGTTGTATAATATAGATTATTTATTTATTATCATGCCGGCAAACAAGCTATGTCGTGCTGTATCGAGTTATGAAATACAAGATGTGGCAATTTAGCTCTGCCCTAATGTGGATGTTTTGTAAATATGTATTTATTTATTATCTTTCACCTTTCAGTCCCCTCACTAAAGCACTTTGACACAGGTCGTGCAGGAATGATATACGCATCATGTACCTGGAGGAGAAACGCATGAAGGGATGAAAAGTGTCAGAATGGTTACTGTATGTGCACCCTACCCTGTGTGTATGCAGCTGTCCTGTACCCCCTGTCTGTCTCTCTGTCTGTCTGTGTGTCTTCAGCACCGGACAGTCGGAGGAGACCCCCACAGAGCCGGGGGGCACCCGTCACTAATTTCTACCTGAACCTCCACTAAACACCTCTCCTAACACTTTCTTTTAATTGAGCACTCCAATAACCAAGAACAAAAAACTATAAACCCCACCAACAAAAGGAATAATTACAAATACCCGAGTCAACGATAAGGTTGTAAAAACTCGCTATGCACAACGTAAAGAATCCATGAATACATATTTTTGACTATTTATCATTTTAAGCTTTGTCGTAGCATGTCATAAAAGAAAAACGACCCTATAGAAAAGCGTCATTTCTTACTTTTAGTTTGCCCTCCAACACAAAGAGTTGCATGCTGTGCTGTAGAACGGAATAACGTGTTTTAATTAGCCGTCAAATGTCTTACCGAGGAGGGGTCTCTTCTCGGGCTGCCCGCGCTGCTTCGCATCAGGTGAGACACAACAAGAGTTTTTGGTCGAGCAGAAGGTAGGAGGCGTCCTGTCGAAACTGAGATATCTCTTAAAGCGACCTTATGCCTCAGACTCCGGCAGGAGATGTGATTGGGAGCACGTTACATAATACATTCTCGGTGGCTTTGCACGCACGTCCGCACGCATGTACTGCACACGCGCGCTCAGGCACGCGCCCTTAGAGGGGCCAGTGGGGATATTGAGTTGTTTGAAATGTGTACAGTATTCATAATCTGTCTCATTAGGTCTGTTGTAAAAAGCCATGCTAAGCCTTCCCATGTTGATGCGAGTTTCATTGATCACCAAAGAGAAATCGCTGTAATATCACAGTAATAAAAGGTTTAAAATTGCCATAATTATTGCTATATAAGTTTATACATCATGGATGTAACATATATCATATTGGGTTACTCTTTCCAAATGGGGGATATTTTTAAATCAAGTCTATAAAGTAAACTATCGAGTCAGTTGTGGATAAACAGAGACAATGCTGTCTAGAGAAATGTAGACAGATTTTGTATGTAGGTTTTCACACTCTGCGAGGCTCTGTGGATGCAAAGCTCTGGTGAGTGTGTCTGCTGAAGGAGACAAAACTAAATGTCAATTATACAGAGCACGTACATCATGATATTTTCCTATTCCATTGAACCGTGTTACCCAAAACACATTGCATACATACATGTTTAAAAAAACAACAACAAATCTGAAGCAAGACTTTCATGATGAGTATTGATGGATGCTCATTGATGTTTATTGATGTGTGCATGTATTCTAGTAAAGGCCATGAACTGACTTTTCTACCCCTCATAAAGATCATTAAACATGTCAATGTGTAATCCAATACATTCAATAGCCAAAACTAACCACACAGGTTCTCTGCATCTGCATAATGCTTTGACGCCCAAACCAACTCATCTCACGATTAGAAAACATGTCTTGATCCCTCCGCAGATAACACCTAGAACTATTTTTAACCCGTTCTTTGCACCTCTCTTTCTTCTGCAACAGATTGTTAACTGCTTCTTCACACTGTCCCCACACAGTCCTACTTCCATTGGAGGCTGTAAAGGAGAAAACTGTAATAGCTGTAATAGAGGAACGGTGAAATGCCTCGCCACCAGCAACAACGGCTCTGTTGGATTTACACAGAGGCACGGGTGTCAAGTCACTCAAGATGATTAATCTATGCAAGTCATTATCAAAGGAAAGCAGGAATGCTGAAAAATAAGTGTACAGCACAGCAGGACTTGATGTTTTTCCTCAAATGAGCATCCATTCAATATATCGAAGCATTGAATGGCTGCACCTCACCCCTTGTGCAATCTCAACTGCTGTCACTCACAATTTCCTTTTTCTTTCAGGAAGGGAGGAAAACATTTCTTAGGTTAAGTCCTAAATGTCCAGACAATTGAGCACTATTGTGTATGTCCACCAATTTATTTCTAATTGATAGGTGGCAAGTTGATGGCCGCACAATCAAGTTCGGCCAGAGAAGGTTGTGCAAGAAGAATGAATATCTCTCATGGAAAGCAGGGGAACATCTTTCTAAGCGAACGTCTCTGTCACAGAGCTCAGGAGTATAGTATATATAAAGAAACAGAAAGCAGATACCATTTAATATTTTTTTATGATATGGGCAAACAAGAACAGATTACATGTTCCAAACATTTGTCTTAATATCATTTCACTGTCACATGAAATATGTAATAGCTCTTTGATCGCTTATTTTATATGGTAAAGTCTATCAACTGTTTAGACTCCCATCCTGTGTCCATTTATACAGTACATAATGTCCCTTGTTTAAAAAATGTGTCCATATTTGGATTCAGAGAGAGACTCTTATTACATCAGGCATTTGTGAGTGGCTCTTGTGGGAAAATTGTTAGTTGTAATAGTTTTATGCGTCATTGCCAGTGTAAATCAATACAGTACCATGCTCTATTAAGAAGGAATTGTTCCCCTGCTGTAGCTCTGCATATCCATGTTAATAGTGTTTGGGGAGTAGTTGCTCCTCTATAGTCTTAAGCCCATAGTCGCTGTTTGGGTGATTTATTTGTGTTGGCAAAAAACTCTCACTTTAACAGACCTTTAATATCCTGTGTTGTGCTGTGAAGCTGTGAAATAGATTTCAACGCCAGCCAGCCGAAACAAAGAAACAAATGGCTTCTCTCTTAAACTTCACACTTTGTTCAGTCATGTTTTGAAGGGGGTATACAAGATAAAGAAAGAAAGAAAGAACCTGGTTGAATAGAATACTTAATGCTTATAGGGACCCATGTTGTGGATCCATGTTTTAGTCATAGGCTCAGGATGTTTTAATACCCTATGGAAAAAAGTGACAAATAAAACGTGATACCTTATTTGATTGTGGATTTGTTTGGTTTGTTTGCCAGCAAGATTACGGACAAACTACTGGCACATTGTTTCATGCAACTTGGTGGGAGTATGTAGCATGAGCCGAGGAGAAACCTATTTAAAAAGCTGATCCACAATAAAGGGGCAGAAGCACCTATTGTTTTCTATTACGGAAACGACCTTGTCAGAGCTCTTTAATCACCGAGTGCGAGCAAGTTTTTAATGGGATCATCATGTTTGTTATATTGTGAACTGAATAAACCTATAGGACAATCTGGATAAAGATGAAATAAATACACCAAAAATAGATGCTCCCGTGCTGAACATGTAAATTATACATGCTCCTCCTTGCACATAGTTGTAGTTGGTAGAATGTTTTACCTATATAAGTTCAAGGCTGATAGTTCCTAATACATAAGATATGTTTTACTGAAACAGTATTAATAAATAGTGGCATATGAGGCCAAAGGAGTGGTGACAATGTTACAACAATTAATGTAGAAAATCACTACTTCCTTCATATTTTCTACATGATGTCATGAAAAACAGATGTGCAGTACATGTGGATAATTGTTGATTGATACACAGGGTATATTGATAGTGACAATGTTGTAAATATTAACACAGAGTGCCACATTCAAATGTCAATTTCACATGTTGTTGCTGTATAATTAGGTCAAGGTCTATCATGGATTACTTCCTGTTTATAGCTCACCTAAAGTATAAAGAGAAGAGAATGATAAGATTTAGCCACTAGTATTAACGCCATGGAAATGTGTCTCTGTGCCAACACTTTATATTGCAAGTCATACATTAGTTTGTATCCTTATATCAGGTGATAAGGATCCGTACCCATGAATGTGTGCAGACTGACTGAAGCCGAGAGCAACATAATTGATGCATCAATTATTACCAGTACATAGCGTGGTGGTGTGTCAATGTGTACCTTTTGAGAATGACAGATGATGACAATTTCTTTAAATTGCAATATTTAGTTGTGATATATGAGATGTGAATATGTGAATCATTTATGATTTTGATGTGATGTTTGTTGCATGGATGTATTATGTGACACACACATGAATACTGACTGTATTGACACTGTTGTGCTGATATTCTTTACTATATATTATTGTTTTCACTTAATTTTGTTATGCTGCTAATCATTTTTACCATGGTTGTATACTCATTTTTATTTGAATATGCATTACATGTTACTTGTTAGACGCTTTTATCCAAAGCGACTTACATACATTCAGTACTGTGGACAATCCCCACAGGAGCAATTTGGGGTGAAGCGTCTTGGGGACACAACGACATGCTGACTGCAGTGGGGTTTGAACCTGTGACCCCTGATCCCAACACCACGGCTCTATCCACTTATAATAAATCTTCGACAGGCTGCCACACAGCCTGCAGTCCGTCACCCCGACCCTCAGTATGTGCACTAAAGAATGGGCAAAGATTACGGCTTTTTTCGGTTTTCTAACCACCATTAGGCGTCTAAAAAAGAGTTGGTTTTACTGAGGCACCATTTTTGCACGTAATGGATGTCCTGTGGTGCTGGTCAGTCAGAGTTGAATAGGCCTGCGTCAGGGTTCACACCAAAAGCCATAAAGGAGTCTTTTGTCATTGATGAGCGAGGTCATCTCTCTCCTCCACTGGCCAATAAACTTTCACATCTTCCACTTTTTTATGATTTTGTTTAGCTCACGGACCCCAAACAAAAGTGGCAAAGAATTGAATTAATCACAGGGAAATGAATAAAGGATTAATTGCATTGATTTTTGCTCCACCACAAATGGAGTCATTTTCTTGGACCATAAGGACCTGAGATGTGCACCAACCTGGTGACCAAATACAAGAAGCATCTGACCTATGTGCTGTCCAACAAGGGTTTCTCCACCAAGTACTAAGACATGTTTTGCAAGGGGATCAAATACTTATTTCCTCCACTATATTTGACTCTTCACTTGCTGTAACAAATATGCATTTCCTCTCTGTGGGACGAATAAGGGTATTCTGATAATTCCTCATACATACTCCTTTAAAACCATTTTTTAAAAGTTAAGACATTCAATGGTAACCTTGTTAACAGAAGTGGCAATAACAGAGTGATATTGACTTTTAGTGATTTATATTATTATGCACTTTTTTCCTGCAGGTGTGGCTTGAGCCTCATCTCGCATAGCATTTTGGGCAGATGGATTTAGAGGCATTCAGGTTGTCCATCATCTCCAATGCCCTGACGCTCCGTGGCAGGGGAGACGTGATGGCAGCTTATAGCAGCACTGGTTGATTATACTGTTGGACAACATATACACAAGTTTCAATTCAACATACCAAGTGTATTGACATACTGTATGCACAACAGCGTTGTTTAGGCAATGAAAATCCTAGCCCTAAACCTGGGTCCTAAGCTTCTCCAATAATGCAACATACAATATACTCAAGACATAAAAAGATAAGTGAAAACACTTCACAGAGCTCAGGAGTTTTACAGCCTTATTGCCTGTGCGATAAACTTAAGCTGCACTCATAAGACATCATTAATAAAGTGTTGGCTGTCATAGAACATACCTGGACACCAACACTGCACCTCGTCGGGGCTTTGGCTTACTAGCCTTCACCACCCTCTTGCTCACAGTCTTTCCTCTCCTGCTGAGCTCAGGCTTCTCCTCCTGTTCAATAGGCCGCTCTGCTCTAAAACCAAACATTTCGATTACATTTCTTGAGTTTTAGAAAACCTA